ATAACTTTCTGCCATGGCAGAGGTATCCTAGGAAAAAGAGCCGTTGGCCACAACATTGAATAAGCGCCATCAGCATGGGTGGTGGAAAGGCCCCCAAAAGGACCTACTTACTACTAGGGCCTGAAAGAGAAGTACAGCTTTGTTCATCATGAACTTTTGCCTGTGCCTACCTTAATGGAGGCAATTACAATGAGAACCATCTCCCTGTTGACAACTGATGTAAAAATACAGAAATTCATTGCTGTCAACAGGGAAACAATGGAAGAGGTCCTAAAGGTCTTGAACATTGGGGCCAAAGTGTTGGCTCGCAGGTCCAATGCTATATGGGGACATCCTGCTAGCAACAGAGAAGGCTGCAAAAGCATTGGCCAGCAGCGTGCTCACCACCAAGAATCTCAGGCTACAAATGGAATACATGTGCACTCGGAAGACCTGGATTACCTTGCATGAAGTGACCATGTACATCTCGGATGACCATTTTTGATCACCCTTTTGTGGGGTGGTCATAAACATTGGATCCATCAAGAAGCCTGTTACCAGCGTCCATGCCATACTTAGTGAGTCAATGCCATGCCTCAAGGTTGCCTTTCCTACACCACATTTTAGTGGAGGGCTTGATTTTGGCATGGAGTGTTATGGACGCCTTCCCTACTCTCACCATCACTCCTCCCATTTTTGGGGGTTAAGCACCGTCATAGTCATGGAAGGTTGTCAAGTTTCCTCAGCAAGTGTAGGTCGTCCTTGAAGTTCATTTCTCAGTCCAGTAACCTTTCTCGACCTTGGAGACTATTGTATCATCAATTAATGGATGGGGTCACAAAGGATCCTCTGTGTGACTGACATCAGAGGTGCACTCTTTGTGGTTTTGGGCACCAGTGGCAGATTATCTCAGCAACTCTGAGTTTTCGCTTAGCTGGTGATTGATTCGGAACGTGCTACCTCTCAATGACGTACTCTTCAGATGGGGCAAGGCAGATTTGCCAGACTGTCATCAGTGTGACCTTGGCTTAGAAGAAACAGCTTAACATGCCTTCTACAGTTGTCCTAGGGTGAACCCTTTCTGGGATAATGTCGGCAAGTTGACAGCTTGTATCGCTCTCGAGCAGCTCATGTCCATTGATCTTCTTCATGGATGTGACAATGTGTGTGTGTGTGTGTCGTTCTCCAGGATAAAACAGATGGTGTATTTTATGTTGCTAGCCATGGCCAGAATGGTGGTGTGGACGTTATGAAAGGAGGGACTCTTGCGAGATGAATGTTATTTGTGACAGGATTTGGTTTTTTTCTTTAAGCATCAGCTTATGGAAAAAATCAAATCTGATAGAAAGCATTTGGTTTCAACAGATTTATTATTTGTCTAAGCATCTTTATTAACTTGTAAAAGAACAAACTGAATAGCATCATAACTTTTTGAAATTAGAATTAATGCAATTAGAAAATATAAAATCTGCTTTGGATATTCGCCCAAATTAATATTTATTTAGTCATTCATAATTTTGTTAATCACCTTTTCTTTTTTTTTTAAAATAAAATTTTATGGGTTATAAAAATGGTTCAAATGATATCTAATTTCAAATTTATTCTAGTAAATAGTAATACTTTACTATTATTTTTTTTTTTTTTGTGATCCTAATTTATATTGCCAACAAATTAGATTAAGTGTGAATAAAAAAAATAGATGAGGCTAAACTAAAGCAATATTATTAAATTATTTTTGTTTTTATTATAATGTTTCAAATATTGTGGTCTCTGTCTTCACCAGGTGCTTATCAATCCAGGTAACTTTCAGGAAATTTCAAACTAAAGCTTTATTTAATTAATGGGGTAAATTATTCTCATTCTGCTGACCATGGTTAGGGATATTTTGTCTAGTTTGTATTTATTACTGCTTAGTTATTGCTTGCTCCATTTCCACTGAGTACACTTAAGGCTCCATGTTTTACACTCAGGATTGTCCCATGAATTTAGAACCTTTGAAATAAATTGGTATGGGAAATTTTAACAACTTTTTGCAGTGCAAAACACTTTTTGAAATTCTTGCAAAAATCAAATGTCAGATTTTAATGAAACTTTCAGGATTTATTGCTAAATGAATGAAATTATTTTTGAAATGTTTCTTTTTTAGAAAATCTTTGTCAAAATATATATATATTTTTACAGATGTTAATCCCCCCCACTTATCTAATTTTATGAAATTTTGAGAAATTAGTTACAAGGACATGTCCTTGAAGAATTTAAATTATTAAATTTTTTGGTCAAACAGGACCACCAGTTACATAAAATCTGTTCTGAATCATAAAATAAAAAATGCAATAAAACTAAGACATTATTTAAGTAGAAAAGTTTTTAATTGCTTTTATGTATAAAATATATTACAATAATTTGTAAACTTTTAAATCTTTTCGAAATTTGTATTATTTGTATTTGTGGTGGTCAAGTGATATTGCTATTAAGTTAAGACTGTATTTACTAATAAATAGAAAAGCTCACTACAATTCAACAACCCACTAATATTTTTAAAGATTTTTAATTTATTTTATGTGTCTAAACGTGTTGATTTTTGTAAATATAGATATCCAAATATGACATTATCAGAAGTGTGGTAACTATAGTAAAGTTAAAAATTTTTGGTAATTTTCTAACATTTCTTCGACAAACTTCTTGATAAGTTAGACTTTTATAAAGCCAAAGTACCTAAAATTCAATAAAAAAATATTAGATTGCTTAGAATATTTCCTCAAATCTTTAAGATTACTGAGTATTTAAAAAAAATTATAGAAAAATATGTTCACATTCAAGTAATTATTACAATTATGTACCCCTTAGAAAAAATTTCCAAACATAAAAATGTATGGCAAGAGTTGTCAACACCTCATAAAAACACCCACTGCCGTGTTAAAAAATGCTTTCTTGTGATGTTTTAAACTAACAGTAAGTAATATTAGTTTCAAATCAAATTAATTAAACTTTTTAAACCCACTAATCTTCCTCAAATAACATTTCATAAAAGTATATTTTATTTTCGAAAGTTTTTTTTTTAATAAAGAGAATTATGTTGTGTTGACAGATTTGTCAATATGAACGATTTTAATGTTTTTACTGATGATGCAGATGATGATAATAATAATAATAATTCTTCCTCCTCCTACTCCTATTCCATTCAATTTAAATTCAGTTTGAAATATAGCAAAATATCTTCTTTACTTTATTGGAAATATTACAGAAACTTCTATTGAAAGTAAAACTAAAATAAAAGCTTCGAGAAAGATTATGCATTTTAAAACCTTAGGTATCGCTTTTCTTTGGAGGCACCTACGAAAATGTTTTCCACATACCAAATACTGAATTAGCGCCCTTATATTGTTTACCTCCGTCTCATATTCTGAGCACATTTTTTTTTCTCTGAATAAAAGTAATGAAGCATAATTAATTAGGGACAAATAACATTTACAAAGCGAAAAATGAGTAATTCAAATAAAAATGATCGGATCTACCTTCTTTGGATATGAAAAACTAGTAATGTAATTATCGTTAACGTTAATTGTATAAAAAAATAGTTAAGTAACTTAAGCTGAAGCAACATTTGTTTTCCGAAGTCTAACAAAACAAGCTGCCTCATCTTAGTTTTCTAACATCTGACAGTACTTTTTTTTTATTCATAAAAAAAAACTGCTCAGAATATGAGGCTAGGTAAAGTCTTCAAATTCCAAGTCTTATTGGTCACAATAAGAAAGATAGAATGAGATTTTATTTTTATTTGATTATGTTCAAAGTATGAGGCGAGGTAAAACAATCTAAGGGAGGTAATTCAGTATTTGGGTATTAGTGTAAATCGAAAAAATACCCCATATATTAAAGGCCAAAGCAATATTACAAAAATAAAATGCTTAACTTAATATTTTTAAACTTTTGAATTTTTATAACCAGTTCGTTTGTATATGATTCAAAAACATGATTATAAAAATTAAAAAAATATATGAATAGAAAAGTGGTTTCAAATTCACAATATCAATGACCAAAAAAGCAAAAGTGCAAAAAAAACTATGATGATAAGAAGAAGACCGTTTGACGTTCAATGCAACCATTTCAAATCAAAACAAAAATAATCAAAATAAAATCTGTTCTGGCACCCACATTTTAATTTGAAGAAAAAAAAAAAAAACATACATGTTCTCAGAAAATTGGCTAGTAGACTAGCATTCAAGACTAACCAATCAGTTATTGTCTTGAATTAATAAACTAAAAACTAAAAAAAAAATTACTTTTTTTTAGTTTGTTTCATTATTGTCACATCGAGTATGAAACCTTACTGACATTATGATTTTTTTTAAATCAACCGAAAGTTCATATGTTTTTAAAAATGAATGTATTGCACCCATAAACACACAAAAAAGATAAAAATTGTATTAAAAATATTTATGGTGGTGATCATGATGGTCGTGGATGGGTGATCAAACCTGATCATGAACTCAAGCAAAGCAATTGTTAAAATCTGTATGTTGCTAACGTAAATGATGTCAGTGATCACCATGGCATAACTCATCAACATCTTTAATTTAAAATTCAAATACTTTTTTTAGTTTCCTTTGTTTTTAGATGCTATCTGTCATCGACCAATAATTGTTTTTTTGTTATTCCTTGCATAATTTTATTTTATTTTTATACTAAGTAATACTAGTTTTTTCTTTTCTCCGTGTAATATTGAATCACAACAGTTCTTTGTGCTACGGTATCTTGCATTTGCCGCTGCCTCTGAGTGTGATTTGCTAGTTGTCGATTTCAACCGAGTGTATTGTATACATTATTTTGAATTGTTCTTTCTTTCTCTCTCTGCGTGTGTGCTGTGTCTCAATGATGTATGAGTACCAGTCAGCACCAGAGCGAGGCTCACGATCCTAGCAATGGCGCTGATGTACGAATAGCTAGCTACGGCTGAGACTGATTCTTATGTTTGTCTCTTTGATTTATAGGATCTACTCGCGAAAACAGCTCCATGAACAATGTCCACACGGCCTGACTATTCTGACTTGGGACGTATAGACGGTAAGTAAATTCATTTTTTTCATTCTCATGTATTTTCTTTTTTTTCTCCTATCTCTCTGCGAATGTAAGAAAGTCCGACGTCTTTTAATCTTTAACAGCCACAAATTTTCATTTCACATCTTCTAATTCTTTACAAAAAACACAAACCTTTTATTCACGTTAAATACCTATTTGGATGTAAGTGTTATTTAAAGAAAAATATATCCATGTATCTAAATTTAAATGCCAGTCTGCTGATATAGACTTCGTGATTGTTTGTTTTTTTTTCTCTCTTCCTCTGCGACACTAAAATTTGACAGATGTAGGCTTAACTCCTCTCTTTCACAATGAACGATGCTCAATTAGTTGCTCAAATTTTTGGTAACTCCTTCAATGGCCGAACACACTCAATTGTACGATTTACACACTGATTTTTTTTTTTTTTTTTTATCTATTAGTTGTATTAAAAGACGAAAATGAAAAAATTAAAATCCCATAAAATAAATCACCCACCTGATCAGCTTCCCCTCTATTTACAGTACACTTAGTTATTCATTGCACGGTTTTTAATCTGCTAAAAAAAACCGTTCTATCGGAAATAGAATTGCCCTCATAAAAAACAACTGAGAATAGTTCGTTATTTATTGTCATCATTATTTTTAATAATGATGATTAGCAAAAAAGTAAAACGAAGAGTACTTTCTTTCCAATCTCATTTTGAACAATTCAATGGCATGGCACCAGAGTATTACAATTATATAAGGCAACATGTGAAGACACTGTGGCATTAGCTGCAGTTATGACTGTTGTTTGTAACGTAGACTCAACTCAGTATGCTCAATGATTTACAAATCTTTTCATAGAAGCAGTGAAATGTTACTTGCTAGAACGTGTTAAGTTTCGGTGTAATTAAAAGTATATCTTAAATTTATTTAACCATTAATATTAATAATTATTAAAACTTTTTTTTTTTTTTTTTTTTAGATTTTTGGCTTACCGCATATAGCGCCGTCATATCGTTTACCTTTACTTTCCTGTCAAAAGCCGTATTTACTTTCCCATGCTTTAAAATGAAAGCTAACAACACTAAAAATGAAATGCAGCCATAGTATGACACTTCCCACTCATTATTTTATTTTATTTTTTTTAAATATCACTTTGCATTTATTCGTAACAAACAATTTTCATTTATTTAAACAATGTAGTACACATGTCTTGAAAAAGTCGTTCGGTCATTTTACTCATTCCTTTTTCCGCAAATTATCATTGTCATTGCACTTAAGTACTATTTTGTTAGTTAGCCTTCCGGTTTTTTTTTTTTATCAGAAAAGTTACAGTAAACAATTTACTCTGAAGTTGGTGATGCATGACCAAGATGGTATTTATTTCTCAATTCAAATGCTCTTTCTTTGAAGAAAAATAAAAATACTGAAAAAAATACTTAGTTTTCATTTGCTTAACGAACACTGCTATTCAACCTTCTTTCGTTATTTTTTTTTTTACTTTTAATTTGCTAAAAAAATTGTTCGACTAAAAAAAAAGTGAAAGTTGACACTACTCAAAATTGTTACTTCGTTTCTCTCCAGTGTACTTAGAAAAACTACTTTTGTTTATAAAAATCATTATAAAATACTCGTTCTGTCATTACAATTGTTCTTACTGCGTATGCCAATGTTTCAATACTTCAATATGTGCTAAGTGTCAGTTTTGAATCAAAATTGACACTTAGCACATATATGGTTGAGGCTGACCATATGGATTTATATGTACTTTCACTTGAATGAAACTGTACTTAGCATCCAGCCAAACCATATTTAAAGATTTGCCATTAAGACTTTTTTTTTTTTTTTTTTTTTTTTAAGGTGGAGGAGGAAGCATTCGATTTTCATTGATTAAATTAAATTCATTTACGGTTTTTTTTTTTTTTTTTTCTCTTCCAGTTTATGCTTAGCATTTCCTTAGTGTGCATTTCTTTGAGAATTTTGTCTTTAAAATTAAAAAGACAATCTTCTGGCTAGATTAAACTTTTAAAAGCACTAATTTTTTTCCCCCTCCAAAATGTTTTTTCTTCACTTGAAAATCTTTTTTTTAAATTTTAGGTTTTTCTCGTCGAGTCGTTATTATTTTACTTATGATGTTTACCTTTTTTGTACACATAAAATGATGCTATTTGGCTTTTTTTTAACATTGATTGTAATTGCTATGTGTGTGTGTGTGTGCGCGCTTAACATCGATGTTAGCTTATGACGTGAAGATAAGCTCCTGGCAACAGCCATTACGCTACATACAATTGCTCTCTTCGATTATTCTGCATCTGGGATTCAAGTGATTGTAAAACGCATCTGATAATTGTTGAAGAAAGGGGGAGGATTGCAATTGCAATTGCAACTACCGTTCACTTCCATATGTTAAACTAAACAAGCTATAAAAACTCAAACTTATCATTAATTTCATTTATTCAAAAGTGAAGTGAGTTTTTTTTTTTTTTTTTTTTTTTTTTGCAGATGATTATTATTTTCATCTTAGGAATTTAGGATAATAGCTTTCCAAAATTTAAGTAGAGAATCTGTCAGGATATTTTACTGGGCAACGTTTGTTCTCGTTTAATTTAACAGACTGGAATTTTATACGCTTTTGTTTTTATTTATTTTTTTAAAATTATAATGTCCAATATAGTCTATCAATGTTAGAAAAATTATAAGTCTTTGAGAAACATGAATGAATAAAAAGAGTGATTTTACAAGAATATATGATAAGCACGGATACATTCTTGTCATCAATAGCAAGGTAAAATCAAATGCGCTGTTACCACCTGTTAGCCAAAGTAATATCTGGAGTGGAGAATGTCACATGGCTACAGCAGTAGCGTTGATGTTTGTACTGTAGTTAGTGGATGGGGTTGCATGTGGAAAGTAGGTTACAAGATGGCTCAATAAAGATACAAAAGAGAAAGATTTATGAAAATAAAAACAAAAACATTTGGCAAACTTCCAACTTTTGGGTTTTTAAACTTGCCAGCTGATAGTTTATTTAGGATTTGTTAGACTCTCAGCATTGATTAGTAACTTGTTCTACTTACTTGCTTTTTAAAGCAGACAATTGTTTGTTGCATGCAAAATCTTTTATCACACACTAAGATTGATTTTTTTTTTTCATTTAGAAGTACTACAAATTTGATACTAAATATGACCTATATGTGTGTGTGTTTAGTTATTTTAGATTAGTAGGGTGACTTCAATTCGAACGTAAACAGATAACATTTAAGTACATCCAAAAAAGCAATATCTAAGGTTTAAAATGCATTTTAAAAATGAAAAATCCTTGAAGCCTTTTTTTTTTCCAAGCTAATAGTTTATATTTTCAATAAGCAAAATACTTCTCTCTTTTTTTTTTTTTTTTTTTTTTTACTTTTAGTTTTACTTAATGTGCATTTCAATGAAATTTAAATTGATTGGAATGCTTTTTTTTTTTTTAACTGCTAAAATTGTTCATACTGACAAATCTGTTAACAAATTTTTATTAAAATCACTTTTCTGAAAATTTATTTGAAGAAGATTTAACTGATTTCAAGTTTAATTAGAACAAATATTACTTTCAGTTTAAAATATCGCAGAAAACTTTTTTTTTTTTTTTTTTTTTTTTTTACACAGAGATGGGTGTTTTTATGAGGTGTTGACACATTGCAGATAACCTGACAATTGTGAGATTTAGGTAAAGGGAAAATAATTTTTTTTATTTTCAGCTACCCAATAAAATATTTTAAAAATTCTAATATTTTATTGAATTTTTTTTTTTTTTTTTTGCCTTTATAGTCTTATGAAGATGTTTGTCTACGAAATGTTAGAAAATTACTAATTAATTCTTAATTTACTTTAGTTACCACTCTTATTTTCTGATAATGTCATCTGAATGTCCAAATTTACAAAAATCAGTATGTGTATTGTTTTTATGAATAAGATATATTATAGACACTATTGTATTCAGAATTATTTTTTATGAATAATGAATTTTTACAAGAATTTGTTTTCATTTATTAAAAATATTAAATTATAATAATTTAAAAATTTTTTAAATCTTAAAATTCTTTATTTGTAGTGGTTAGTTGACATTGTTAATAAGTAAAAACTATATTTACTAATCATAAATGGAAAAGGTTAAGATCCTTAGTATTTTAAAAGGAATTTTGAATTTTTTTTGCATATACATACTGATTTTTGTAAAAGTTACATTTATGCTACATGTAATTGATTTTTTTTTTTTGTTTACTGTCATGTCCCTTCAGGATGTAGGTGATGATGACTCTCCACAGATTCCTTTTTTATTATTATTATCTGGAAATTGCCATGCATTCTTGGGGAAGATAGTGCAGTGGTTTCCCATTGTCTTCTCCTTGACTTAGAATTCTGTTTTCCTTATCTTAGGCTGGTTGCCAATCAAGGTGAGATAGCCCTGTCTACTCTGCTATTAAACCTATAGTAATCTTTTTTATTGTGGTCTTTGGTAAGGATTTTCAAGATGTTTTTAAAATGCTTATTTTATATATTAAAAAAATCAGATATCACTTCTCTATGCAACTAATAAATTATATATTATTCATTTACACAATCCACTTATTTGTATATAAGTACCATTTTTTTTTTTTTTTTTTTTTTTTTTTCCCCAATATATTCTAATTTCAATTTTTTGTGTTAAAGAATTTCAATGCCATTTCTTATGTCATTAATAACAAAAAATGGCTTTTAGTTACCTTTTATATTCCAGCCTGTATGACTAGAAGAACTATAGTATTTCTGATTACATAACCATTTTGTCTCAGTATAATATGGTTGAAATTTTCTCCTTGCCTCTTTTCATTATGGAATTGTACAACTTTAAGAAAAAGTTTCAATATTTCTTATGTAACTCAGGAAATAAGAATTACTATTACAATTTAGAGAAATCACTTTTGTTAAAATAGAATGCTAATTGTAGCAATTACACTTGAAAAATATTTTATGCAATTAATAAAATAAGTGTGGAAC